TTAACAAAATTATCAATTATAACGGAAACAGCAAGATCACAACGACAATCACGAGATGTTAGTAGTAGTACGAATAAACGAACACTAGTTAGTATATAATAAACATGGTCACTTTATACTTCCAGAGACAAACAAATGTTTACTATATTTTCTACTACCCAGTAATGGCTACTTAACTAATTATCCTCATTAAATAATGTTAACTATCTTAATAATTAGAGAGATTGCTTAATTAGAGACCTACTAAATGTATTGTTGTTAGGTATTATGTAATTATGGGTATCATTACGTGCTTTTACTTACTAATCCATATCAAATTTAACTTAAAAGCACTTACGAAAAAAAAAAAAAGGTTTTTATTCTATGTATTTATTATTTTTTTTCGATCCATTTATTTGGCAGAGTTGCAACTTTATGCACATGTTCATAGCATCAAATGATAGTAGACTAGACAAGGTATAAGGAAAATAAAGTTTCAAAGCGGGACCTCGCGGTACTTAGCAGGAATTTAATTTAATGTGACCCGCTCCATACAAAAAAATCACAAAACACATTTTTCTGACCAAACTATAAAGTTTTTGTAATTTTTGCCCAAAACAATTATTATTGAGATTAACGAGCTCTATCTATCTACATAAAAAAAATTATAAAAAAACAAAGTTGGTCCCTAAGTCACTAAAATCACAGTATCGACCCACTGTGCGCCGCCGTGTACCTGCCTTCGATGACTCATTTGTTTTTATCGATAATGACGTTGCGCTCGCGCAACATGCTCACCGCCCTAGCCGGGCTATGTTTTATGACCCAAACTGCACGGACAAAATAATTCTACTATTGTTTTTTTATCTGAAATGACTGGAACTCACTATAACAAACAATAATTTTCTAATAAGAAGCATTGTCACAAATAATTTTTAATAGATCCTAATGTACGATATTACGATATCTGTGACCGTTCTTAGGATAGTCAAAGAGGTCGACATAAAACCACAAACGAAATCGTGTAAAATCGAGTTTTTGTAAAATGGAGAACCGGTTTGATCTCGTAAAATATTTATTACTAGACTTTCCATACGTAATGACTTTTCCATACTTTCAGATTGCTGACACTTTGTGAAATATTAGTCAGTATGCCGTTACCTAATTCAGAAGAATCGGCTCAGTTGAAGGTCTGTATACTTAGTTAACGAACGCCAAAACGAAAAAGTAGCCTTTTTGATTCTATTTACATTATTTTTTTCTTTTATTTTATTTTTTCTTCAAAGATTTATGTCTACAAAGTTGCTTATGTACTGACCGGCCGTGTCATTGTGTTAAATCCTTCCGTACAAGATGCTGAAGATTCGGTAACTTAAAAATTAGAAGTGAATAATCCCGCTTTAGAATAAACACAGAATGTAGTTAACAGTTAGCATAAAATACTTGTAATATCACATGTTAGTATATTCATTGTTTATCGCGATATGTAGACGTAATTAAAATTAGTTTTACGGCTGTAATCTATAACTGAGCAGTTAGTACAACATTCAAATCTCAATGTATAACATTTTAATAAAACCTTAGTCGTCTGTGACCATGAAAACTGTATTCGTAACTTCACCGCGTCGGAAAGAATGTAATGACAATATTAAATGCGAGATTGAACCGTTAAAGTAGTTTGAAATTTAGTTACATGTTCTGAACAAATAAAAGTATTGAGTAACATAGAACTGCGCAAAGTATTATGAACTTTAAATATCAAAGTTAGCACATTAGAAAAACAAAAGCAGATGACTATGTAGCTGTAATTAAAAGTCTACTAATACGAAAAAGAATTAATTCGAGATCATCGTATTGTTTAATTATAATGAGTACCTACTTACTACATTTTAATTTCATATAAATCTTTTCGTAGTTTACGTAATTATTTTCTTTAAAAAAAAGTAAGTTCCTGAGCGCAAATTACTTAAAATTCCTTCACCCTTCAAAAAATATGTGATTAATTAAAAAAATATATGTAATGTTTGCAGCCAAGCGACTCGAAAGGATCAAGTTTGTCCTTACTGAAGTATTTAGATCCGGCTGAAAAACAAAAGAGAGACACTGCTCGCTCAAAGGAGCGGAAGAGTGACGAGCAAACTGTACAGTTAACTGAAGTTGAAGCCTTCTTTATAATGAAAGGTAACGTAAGTGTAATTACGATAAGTGCAATCTTAAGTGTTATCTTGTTTGTAATTGAATTGTATAGTTCTAAAAAAAAAATTTTTTTTTTCGGTAATGTATTTCCTTTATCGTGGAAGTCATTCGTGAACACGTATTTAAATTATGTAAAATTGGTAATTGTCCTGCCGGATTCGAGCATAGACACAGTGACACCGGTCGCCACGACCGCAGCGGCTGTCTTATCCTTTAGGCCACGACGACTTTAAAACAATTCGTTAAATTTGCTCTCTTTGAAATATGATTCTCTGTATGGCTACATTTTTATTTCTTTATTGCGAACTTGTGTGAACGAAATAGCAAGTAATCTAGTGTAAAGTGGTTACTGAAGACCATATAAGAGTACATCTCAACGCAATTGCCTCCGCCTTCCTTTATATATAAGGTCGGAGGAGGACGTTAATTTACTAATCGCTCTTTTGGGGGTATGCGACGGAGGGAAGATCTTCCGAGCGGGTGTAATTACTCGGTAGAACGACAGTCCAAATGTTTTGTTTTTTCCTACCTAAGCTTGAGAGGCTATATCAGCGTCGCCTTAACTAGTAGGTGAGCTCACGGGGCTCAAACCCGATGACGTTGCTAACGCGAACCCTAGCAAGAGCCGTGCTTCGCAGAATCTACCACCGGATCGGACACGCGACTCACTGAGAAGATCCGGGGAGAAACTCAGTGGGCTGTGTCTGAGGGCTCCAAATGTTGTTGTTTGGAATTTGCATATATGCAAGCTTATCTTGAAAATGTTTTAAGCGAGATTCAGGCATCTATCAAATATGTTGTATTGTATGATGGCTACCCGCCACGTTTTCATTTCGTTGATTGTTTTTACAGAATTGGTTCTCAGCATAAACAGGAAACCTACAAACATATCTGAAGGCTACGAAAGGTTCCTCGTGTTCTCGTTAAGCCTCTTAGAGCTCACGGCCACTCAGAAAACGTTTACACTCGAGGCTACCGTGAGGCTCGGCGCGTTGGATATGAAGCACCACAGGGAGGGGCACAGCGTTATACCCATGCTGGAAACGCCCGATGTGGTTGCTATGGAAACGGAGGCTAATGCTGATAATGCTTGCGTCGATAAGGACAAGTACTTGTTCGCCGTCACTTACAGTAATGTGAGTACTCTTTACTTGATTTCCTAGAGACCGATTTACTACACTACTAATAATCGTAATGTGTTTAACGGTATATATATCGATTGAAAAGCAAACGTAACTAAGCGACAATGCGTGAACTTTACAGTAGCCTAATTTAAAGTTGAAATACCTGACAAAAAATCTATTTTAACGAATCTAGCTGTAGGATTGAAATGATTTTAATAGACCTAGAAATATTATTTTTTTTGCGCATCGAATATGGTTATTGCCTATCATTTATATACAAAGCAGTTATTGTCGCTTAGTCACTTTTGCCTTTCAAGCGTCGATATATATTTATTGTATGTATGAATTTTCTTTAATAATGTCCTGTTTATAGTACACCGCAACATACCTGCTATAATCTTTATCTGTCCAGAATTTCGGGTAATTAAACGGTTGTCTGGAAGAGATCGCTTTTAGCGATAAGACAGCCTATTGTACAAACGCATCTGCTTGTTGACTGTTTTCTGATGTTAATTGTGTTTTGGTGTGCAATGAAGTATGTTCTCTCTCTCTCTCTCTCTCTCTCTGTCTCTTTCTACCCTACATTCGTATTATATACACGTAATCCATCCATATTTTTTGGTTATACCCTCCCCTAGAAATGAATCTTAATCTAGAACACGTAAAGCTGCATTTATAAATATGTGCACTGAGCCACATCGCAACCCTTTGCCGCATTAGTCACTTTGTTTGATATTTCTCTAGACAATCACATCATTAATTGGTATGGAAGGTAGAAGTAGGCAGCAACATCTTAGTGTATTAAAAGTGTAAGCTAAAATGGAACAAATTATGGTGGCGCCACAGTAGCAAGTGGAAAGATTAAAAAAAAAAAAGCTATAAACTGCCACACTTCACTCTTTAAAACTGCTATATTCATATCATTTCTACTTCCTACACCAAGGTTATTTCAGTGAGTTTTTCAACAATAATTTGCTGCATACAGGTGGATACTTTTTCAACTCGGCCCTTATACAAAATGTACTCCTTATCTCTGCCCTCTATTTATAACAGATAAGTTTTTTTTTATTGCTCTTGTAGGCATATGAGCAGACGGTCCAACTGATGGTGAGTGGTTACCGTCGCCCATGGACTTCAGCAATGCCAGGGGCAGAGCCAAGCCGCTGCCTACCATACTTGTTGATTTTTCTACTAGTTGATTTTCTATTAAATTTTTGACAGGTCGACAAAAAGTGTCCAGAATTTCGCAGTCACTATGGTTCAGTAGAACAACTGATCGAGCTTGACTTCACCAACTTACGAGTGTTGCTGCATCTGCAAGGCTTACAAGAGATTTTGGTTATCGTCAATGAATACCAGGTAGGCTTAGAATTTTTCTATAAAGTTTAGTTTTGACTGCTGACCCAGGGTAACGTTTTTCGAGCCCAAGCCTTTAAATGGATATCAAATATCAAAGATGTCATTAGATTCATCTCAGTTGCTTGAGTAACTTTTTGCCCCTACCTATCCTAGTAAATTCGAGGGGTTATACTAGGTTCATTTAACGTATAGGCGAGCTCACAGGTTTCAAGCCTGGTGAATTTTCTAACACTAGCCCTAGCAAGAGCAGTGCTTCGCCGAATCTACCACCGGATCGGTAACGCGACCCACTGAGAAGATCCGGCGAGAAACTCAGTGACATAGATGTATAATATGCATAAAAATATTACTGTTAATCATAATAATATAAATAATAATTTAATGTTTGAATTATTGACGATATTCTGCTTCAGACAAGACTACAAGCCATACAGAGCACGGTTGATAGAACAGCCCATGCCGGACCTCTCGAAACCATTATGGAGGATGAAGAATTCTCTGCAGCCAAATCTAAAGGTATTATAAATCAAAATATTCGTATCTTGAATGATCATAATTGAATTGTAATTTATTCAAATACGTCTACATTACAATTTACAGTGAACGTTACAAAACCGGCTCGTCGTAAGCAAATTGAGAGCATACAGTTGAAAGTGAACGTTAAAATCGGCGCCATAGAGATCGGATTCGCCACAGACAAGCGTCCCTTGTCCGTGGTGAGACTGCAGGGTGCCACTGCCGGACTAGTCCTAAAGAGTTCATATACGGAAGTCGATTGTGCGATGGCGTCTATTAAAGTGGAAGATCTTAATCCTGTTACAATTCATAAAGAGGTAAGTTTTTTACTGGTGGTAGTACCTCTTGTGAGTCCGCACGGGCGGGTACCACCGCCCTGAAAATTTCTGCCGTGAAGCAGTAATGCGTTTCGGTCTGAAGGGTGGGGCAGCCGTTGTAACTTTACTGAGACCTTAGAACTTATATCTCAAGGTGGGTGGTGCATTTACGTTGTACATGTCTATGGGTTCCAGTAACCACTTAACACCAGGTGGGCTGTAAGCTCGTCCACCCATCTAAGCAATAAAAAAAAATTAAGTAAAATTCTGTTAATTGTTCAAATAAAGAACATGTAATGGACACATATGCGTTTTTTAGATATTGAAAGTGCTCGGCGGTGATGTTATAAAGCTAAAAATAGTGTTGTACAATCTGGAGCACTATCCGACCGTGAGTGACGTGAACATGTCCGTCGATGCACAGATCAATTGTTTGCGTATCGTGTTCCTGAATTGGTACGTCAGTTCTATGCTGGTAAGTAATTTATTTTAATTTGAAAAACTCTTAATATCGAATTGACAACGTTTTGTTCAATGCTACTTGGTTGAGCTAAAATAATCTGACAAAAATAGACGATTTAAACGTCTTATTGATAGGGCGTGTTGTGACCGCGCGCGGGTAGGTACCACCTCTCTGCTTATTGCAATCGTGAACCAGTATCGCCTTCCTTTCTTTGAACAGTGAGGCAACCGTTCTCCTATAATACTACACTTGGAACTCGTTAAGTTAGTGTTGGTATTTCATCATCATCTTAGCCTGTCTACTGTCCGCTGGTGAACATAGGTCTCTCTAACTGATGTCTAGTGCGGCCGGCCCGTTGCAACCTGCATCCAACGTGAATATTGGTGGTAACGTAGTGGTTTTTGTGTTGTTGAAATCTATGGGCCGCGGTAACTTCTTAACTCTACTCACCTAAAAAAATGGAAGACGTAGCGTGGTGAGCCTCCCTGGACCGATGACCTATTGAGGTTCGCGTATCCGACTACGCTAAAAATGTGATGAGTTAACTTAATGATTTTAACTAATGTACACATTTTTTTTTTAATTCAATATTGTAAACTTTTTTCGCATTAATTACGTAAGGCTACGTCACTTTTGTACAACTCTGCAACAAACACAAAATAAAAATCTGGTTTCTCAACTACTAATCGACTCACATCCGTCCGTTCACAAAACCCGAAAGGTTCAGAAACAAAAGGTAGGAGGCTAAAAGTGTTCAAAATTTTCTAAATTCTGCTAAACGCAGGCAGCGCTGGACAGATCGGTGTGGTGAGGCTTGGGGAAGGCCTATGTCCAAAAGTAGACGTCTGTGGACTGATAGAATACAAAAAAAGGGTGCGTGTACTTATGTACGCGCGTAAGAATTTATACTTTATTTTTATTAAATGTATTTCTTTTTTTTATTTCAATTTTAATCAATTTGAAAAAAAATCGATTAAACAACATCATCAAACACGCATATTGGACATCCCTTTTCTTGACATCGTATAAATTCGGTAATTCTCGGTACGGTTTGGAAAGTTCATCTGCGGCTATATTCAGACTCGCCAAGTTACGTCGGTCGTATTGTAATGAGCGATTTAGTAGGCAACTTCATTCTGTTAATTTGTGTCACGGTGCGCGCGCATCGTAAAATTTCACTCTCATCAATTTTTCATAACGCGCCTAAAGAAGTATAACTTCAAAAAAAACAAATCTAAACCACAGTTTGCACAACATAATTTACATGACAGCTATGTACTTTTTCAGGAATTCTTGAACAATTTCCAAACAGCTCAGCAAGCCATCATCGACGCGTCGTCGCAGGCCGCGGACGCCGCGAAGGCCAACGTGCAGAGCGCCTACCAGAACTCGACGAAGCTGTCGCTGAAAGTTCGTCTGGCCGCGCCCATTATCGTCGTGCCGGAGAACTCGAAGAGCCTAAACGCCATGCTGATCGATCTGGGACGAATGAACCTTAATAATCGGTTCGTCGACTTACCTGTTGCGGTAAGTAATGCAATACCGTAAAAATATTTTACCTATATTGAACATTTAAAAAAAATTTTAATTTGCAATAAATTGTCATATTTTAATTTAAGAAAATAAGAATCAATTTGCATATTTCGTGATTGCTTCATTACGTAACTTTTTTTAAAAATTTATCACTTAGATGGGTGGACGAACTCACAGCCCACCTGGTGTTAAGTGATAACGTAGCCCATTGACATCTACAACGTAAATGTGCCACCCACCTTGAGATATAAGTTCTAAGGTCTCAAGTATAGCTACAACGGCTGCCCCACCCTTCGAACAGAAACGCATTACGGCAGAAATAGGCAGGGCGGTTGTACCTACCTGTGCGTACTCATAAGAGGCCCTACCACTAGTAAATGACTTGAATTTATATATAAAGTTATATAATAAGACAATGTGAGTGGGATGAGTTCATGAGTTTACTTAATAAATTCCACCCAGGATGTGAGCAATAAAGTAACAGTGGACGAACTGACTCTTGAACTTGAAGACATGAAGGTGTCCTGCGTTGAACTAACGGACGAGCACCAAGAGTACAGCTACGAAAGGAAGCTGCTACGACCGACCAGCTTCAAACTCTTCGTCAAACGAAGCCTGTCTTCCTGGTACGAAGCGTTACCCGACTTGGATATATCCGGCAGAATGAAGACGATTGCTGTGAGTATTCGATTTTTACTATTTATCACACTAATTTAATTTGTTTACAATAAAAAATGTACAGTAACATTTCCAAAACAGAATACAGTTAACGAATACGTTTAGATAATTTTAAACCTTCTAACCGCAAATATTGTACCAACATAACAATAATAGATAGTGTTTCATTGTAACATAAATCATCTCGAATTAAAAATTTGTGTTTGATTTTGTTTTGATTCAGTTCAACAATACATTGCGCTCTAAATATACTTGCGTCGACGAGCGACAATAACTATTTATCATTAGATTTGCCAACAGCAAAGGCAATAAAATATAGTAAAGTGGTGAACCGCATGTAAACCATTGCGAGGAAAAATTTAATCATGATGAATTAAATTATGAAATAACAAGTAATATTGTATTAAGAATCACATTTGATCATTCCATTTACTTATTTAAACATTGAGTAATACAAGTGGAATAAATTGTATCTTCTGAGGTATTCATTTAATGTTCGGTTTTCAGATAACCATAGGCCACAGCGACTATAAGAGTATAATGAAAATTCTGAACCAAAACCTCCAAGAAGGGCAGAGCAAAGTGGAGGAAACGAAAGTGCCTCCTAATTTACAGAGGTCAACGTCTAAGCCTGCCGTCAAAACTCAGACGAGCAAAGGGCAAGTGAAGTCCACCACGGCCGTGGTCAACGCGGACGACACAAAGAAACCCAGGACCACCATCAAGTTTATGTTCACCATGGACAGCTTCGTCATAGATCTCATGAACACGACCAGTGTAAGTACAAAAATATTTTGAAATAATTTCGTATTTAATTTTTATTTTTTTATTAAACTTAATAACCTTTTTAATTGTAATTAGATCGGATAAATAGCTCAATATCTATCTTCAATTTTCTTCAATATATATAAAAATGAATTGCTGTTCGTTAGTCTCGCTAAAACTCGAGTACGGCTGGACCGATTTGGCTAACTTTGGTCTTGAATTATTTGTGGAAGTCCAGAGAAGGTTTAAAAAGGTAGATAAATATGAAAATGCTCGGAATTAAATAAAAATAACAATTTTGTTTCTCATTTGACGTGTCGCCCGTCGGACGGATTCCATTTGTTTCTTTTAAGTTTATTTTATACAAAAGTTTAGGTCTTTTATTTATCGATTGAGGCACTACGAAATCTGCTGGGTCAGCTAGTTAGGCACTAAAGTTCTTTGTTTAGTCAGCAGACACCATGTTCACGAAAGACGTGGAGCTGGCCCGTTTCTGCCTCGCGCTACTGTCCGTGAAGGGGCGCATGTTCTCGGACAGCTCCATACATACGTCAGTCTTATTGGTCGACTGCACGCTGGACGACACGCGGCCTGGGCGCGGCGCCAAGATCACAAGGTAACTCACTCATTGTGACAACTCACTATTGATTATTGCTTAGATGTGTGGATGAGCTCACAGCTCACCTGGTGTTAAGTGGTTACTGGAGCCCATAGACATCTACAACGTAAATGCGCCATCCACCTTGAGATATAAGTTGTAAGGTCTCAGTATAGTTACAAAGGCTGCCCCACCCTTCAAACCGAAACGCATTACTGCTTCACGGCAGAAATAAGCAGGGCGGTGGTACCTACCCGTGTGGACTCACAAGAGGTCCTACCACCAGTAAATCACAAGATCTGATTAATATCAAATTAATCTCATTTCGTTTCATATCAATTTTGTTGTTATAACAGAATATAATAAGAAAATATAATATTTGGCTTGTTGCCAGGCCATTAAAAAAAACTCACAAATCCTGGTACTGGTTTGTTGCTGGTAGTAGGACCTCTTGTGATTCCGCGCGTGTAGATACCACCGCCTTGTCTATTTCTGCCGTGAAGCAGTATTGGGTTTCGGTTTGAAGGATGGGGCAACCGTTGTAACTATACTGAGACCTTAGAACTTATATCTCAAGGTGGGTGGCGCATTTACGTTGTAGATAACTATGGGCTCCAGTAACCACTTAACAACAGGTGGGCTGTGAGCTCGTCCAGCAAACAATAAAAAAAAAACATTATGCCACCTTTTAAATCATTACCCATAATTGCGTTACGGCAGGAATAGACTAGTGAATGAGTGATAATGCGTGTAGTTATAATTACATAATTTTTTGTCCTTCATAGTGGAATTGCTTCGTGAGAACCAAAAGCACGTTGCATAGAATTGGTCACGAACGAATACTTGTATCAAATATATCAAAAAACGCATATTATTAAGATTGAAAAAAAAATTACAATATGTTATAATAGGATAGTAGTTATATATGTATACTAGCTGTACCCGTCCGCTTCGCTGGGCATTTAAAATAACATTAGTATTTCTCACCCACACAAAGATTCTCATTATTAACGCCCCTGCAACTGGTGTAGGGAGTCCAACACTCATATAAATATTAGCTTATCCATTAAGTACATGTATTTTCTACATGGATACTAAGTTGCAAGTCGATCGGATACACGGTTCAGTAGTTATAACGGAACATCCGTAAAAACAACTAGATTTATATATTATTTATTTATAACTTCATATACTGGAAAGTATAAAGGCGGACTTAATGCCATAGGCATTTTCTAACAGTCTACCTTAGGAGAGTGCAGAGGTGAACCTTGGTAGGTGTAGTGTGAAGGTGATATTACTTAAACATATGTGTAAATGTAACATACATAATATTTATAGATACAAATACTCGTACTTAAATATATATAGATATACATAAATATATACATATAACAAACATATATAAACAAATATTATCAATTAGATGACTCCGCTAACTTTCTGAGAAACAGTTCTCGAACCTTCGTCTTAAACGCAGTATAGATTATGATTATTAAATTGGAATACGCATTATTAGGTACCTGGAGCGACGAAGAGAAAAACGCGAAAGATCCGTAGACGAGGACGGATCGCAGAACGCTATTATGGAAGCGCACGATAAAATTCGCAGCATGATCGACATAACATACACTATGAAGAATTCCGATACTTTCAGTAAGTAAAAGTTTTTATAATGTCATTTTCTTCAGAAGAAAACGCCTATTAGCCATAAACATGGTTTAACCATTGAACTCAGTGCTATTGTTGCTGTTATTATATTATAATTACCTACTCGCCAACCTTAATGATAGTTCACGTGCGGTTAGAAATGAAACCTTAGCAAAAATTATCTCTCATTCATGTCATTCTCTATTTCTCTCTCTCTCTCTCTCTCTCTTGCAAGCTATTTCCTATAGATGTATATGTTTGTCTTAAACATACTATTATTTTTCTACTATCGATTCCGATTCATCGAATTTTGTAATTTTTGGTTTCATCCCGTTAAAAATGACGATGCTAAAGAAGTTTTCACTTCAACAATATTATGATGATATTATTGAAGTATTGAATATTATTGAATAATAATATAATATTTGTGTTGTGTCCGTTCAGTAAACCAAACATTTTGTTGCAGTCGACATGAGAATATTCAGTTTCAATCTGATTCTGGCGATGGACTTTTTGAACAAGATAGCGGAGTTCATGACGACGGGGCTCGCCGCGGAGACGCCCGCCGACGCGAAAGAAGAACTTAAACAAGTCAAAACCGCCGACAAATCTGTGGAGGCTTCCGTAAGACATTTTATTAACGAGCAATATTTGACTGTTATATCTAACGATACAAATTGACGCAACCCGTCTGTAATTAAATTTTTTACTGGTGGTAGGACCTCTTGTGAGTCCGCACGGGTAAGTACCACCGCCCTGTCTATTTCTGCCGTGAAGCAGTAATGCGTTTCGGTTTGAAGGGCGGGGCAGTCGTTGTAACTATACTGAGACCTTAGAACTTATATCTCAAGGTGGGTGGCGCATTTACGTTGTAGATGTGTATGGGCTCCAGTAACCACTTAACACCAGGTGGGCTGTAAGCTCATCCACCCATCTAAGCAAAAAAGAAAATTTCGCTAGAAATACTCAAATGGTTATGCAGACATTGAATACATAAGCCGTTCTGTCTTTTATTTTGTCACGACGTTTTGTTTGCTGTTCTTCAATACTCATGTTTTAAAAGTACAGAATAAAGATACAAATATAGACTGGCAGTGTTCTTGTACTATAATAATACCAATAGTTTTTTTTTTTTTTTATTTTTTTTTTTTCGCCCTTGTAGGCAGACGAGCATACGGCCCACCTGATGGTGAGTGGTTACCGTCGCCCATGGACTTCAGCAATGCCAGGGGCAGAGCCAAGCCGCTGCCTATCAAATTGTATTGTACGTATTCTCTTTAGGTAATGAACTTAAGCTTAACAGCCCTGGAAACTTTTTAAATGGATATCCGCTCTCTCACTTCGAATTAGCACCCTTGACGTAGGGCTGTCACTCCACAAAAATGGGAAGCACTTTGAGGCATTCGTACGTGTTAACTTTTAAACTGAAAGTTTTGTTCGATTTTACAGCGCAAGAAAATATCATCAGTAGCTCCAACAACAACAACGGAAACACCGAAGCTATCGATGATGACTGTGAACATCAAAATTGAACAACCGGATATTATTTTGGTCGAGTCGCTCGAGCAGAAGAAATGTGACGCTCTAGTTTTGAATGTAAGTTATAACATTGACTGACTGAATAAGCTTATTGCGTTCTATTTGACGGCTTTCGAAAATTTATAAACGAATTAACGTAATTTAAATAAATTTTAATGTCTTATTAAAAATGTTCGTTTTAATACTTAAATACTGTCAGTTAGTTTTTTTAAGATTTAAATTTCTAATTGAAAGTGTTAGAGGTGTTGTAATCGCATCTTACGTTTTATTTAATTTCTGGTTAATTTTAGTTCATTACCAATTCATTATTATGTCCGGTGTTTTGTAGGTATAAAATCGTGTGTCTTGTCTTTAGATGGAAGCTCGGTTTAAGCTTCGACAAAGCTCCGAGCGTATGGTCGCGGAAGGCGGTATCTCCGGCCTGCAGATGGTCATTAGGACCATCGGACAGGAAGACCGACCGTCGACGCCGCGGTACCTGTTAGCTCCGACCCATCTCTCGCTGGCGCTGTCGCAGCCTCCGGATAGCGGGATGCACGTGGATCTGTCCGTCACCGATATTAAAATCACCGTTTCACCAGGTATTAGTGAAAACTGTTTATAAATATTACTAGAATAGTCTAGAACAGTGGTGGGCAAACATTTGGCCACAAAGTTTTAAAAATTCTAGAAGGAGGGCCAGAATTATATGAAAAATGCATTTTGTATTAAAGCTTTTTAATAAACAAAATACATTTTACTATTACTATTACGCCAAATTATTATTATTTTACTATACTATTTATTACTAAATTACTATATTTTACTTTTACGCCAAAATACTTTTTACTAAAAATTCGAAGATTTTCAATTATAAAGGTCAGATTTTATTTTACGCGCCAAAATGCTGACTAGAATATTTAGGATGGATGGACTCTCGGCGGGTCGGATTACATACTTCCGCGGGCCGTACTTTGCCCATCACTGGTCTAGAACAAACTCACGATTCGCTATACACAGCCTATATATACACAACTTGTATGCTACCTTGAGGCGTGAACTCGAAGTCTCGTTTATATTCAATATAATTTATTTATTTAATGCAATCTTCTTACATACTAATAGTTCAATAACGGTCTACCCTTCAATATAATCTAGTTTAATATAAAGTAATATAATGTCTTTTCCGTTCATATAGATATCATAGCGCTGCTGAATCGAGTATTAGCAACGATGACAAGTCGAGAGGAGGACAACGGGGAACAAGAGCTCAAAGCCATCATCTATCACAACCTCTGGGATATACAGCCTCTGAAACCGAACGCGCATTGGTATTTAAAAACTGGTATGTTTTATTGAATTTCATTTGCTTTAACATCGAAAGTGCTTCATAAGCCGCCGTCTACTGCTATGAACTTTATTGATCTCGTTCGAACAAGAACATATCAAATCGACGAGGAACCAAAGGGGACATATCAAAGCCAAAACGTAAACAATAAGTTTGGTGATAATAATAATATTTCAAGAAAATATTAAGGTCTTTATTTAGTATAGGTGTTGTTATTGAATCAATATCAAATGGAAATATGATATTTAATAGCCCCAATTCAGAGGACGCAATAAATAGATTAATCAATATTATGTTTACAGAGGTAGCCCAAGAGGCTATCAACCTCGAAGAGCAATGCCCCGAAGTGACGACGAAGCCGCCCGTCGGGGAGATATGCTTGCTGTCCAGTCCGTCCATCATAGTTTCGTTAGAGATGGACATCGGCAATGAAACCATCCCCGTCCTAGTGATGCAAGCCTCGCTCAGCGGACAAGTTAAGGATTGGAGTTCGGATGTAAGTTTTATTATCTATCTATCAGCTCACAGACGTCCACTGCTGGATAGGTCTCCCTCAAGCCTAGCTACAATGATCGGTCCTGCGCTGCTTACAACAGACTCCAGCGAACCTCAATAGGTCGTCGGTCCACCTTGTGGGAGGCAGCCCTATACATGTCATTACGGATCCTCCCGATCCATTAACGGTGCTTTTAGGTACCTCAAGCACCGGTCATCGTCCTTGCCGAACCCGTTGCTTGCGACGAAGGACGCGACGAGTAAATTAACCCATAGATAGACACAGCCCACTGAGTTTCTCGCCGAATCTCTCACTGGGTCGCGTTTCTGATCCGGTGGTAGATTCTGCGAAGCACTGCTCTTGCTTGTCAGCAATACTCCCGGTTTGCACCCCGTGAGCTCGGCTACACGCCGGGCTAAGTATCAGCATAGGAAAAAAGTGGGAGGCATACCCAGTCCTACCCAGTCTGAATTTTATTAATGCCATTAAAATTTATTCCGTTGGCTGCTATACGCTTTATAAAAGCAATTAGTAAATATATTATTAATAAATAGCAATATGTTAGCACGGAAAGAATGTAACACCGAAAAGTAGAACAGATTAAGAACCTTTAGTAATTTTATATCTTCCAACAAAAGAGGTATGCAAAAATAGTCTACTTTGTCTATGATTGTGTCGTGTTCAATTTCCGTGACGTTTTCTGCAGCTCTACCTGGAGTCGACGTGGGCCATGCAGGTCTCGTACTACAACATGGGCCGCGCGGTCTGGGAGCCGCTCATCGAGCCCGTCGAAGTCATGAAAGATTACCAGTACAAGCATATTCCGTGGGAACTTAAAATGGAGGTGAATATTGATATAGCTGTGGTATATATAAACGTAGGCAGTGCTTAACTATGTACCTCAGTTAGAATACTGCAAATAATTAGTTCGTAAGCATATGTACTCTGTTTTAATAACGTATTAAAATATTTCTTAATCTTTGCTCTCGTGATCGAAAACACTAGATTTGATTCAATTTTTTGTCAGCAAACATACTACCTGTAATGTTGATTGTTAATAAATATTCGCAGATTTATCTAAATTGCACTATCGATTTTATCGTAACACCTCAGAATAAAAAATATATTAACATTTTTAATTGTTAACGCCTACAAAATTTTAAGGAACAATGTTGGAATTTTTATTTATGTTTACCTACACCATTTACACTAATACAATCGCAGTGCCAAGCTAACTTGTTCGCAACATGGTATTGGTGGTAGGACCACTGTACTAGTGGTACTGGTCGGTTTGAAGGGTGGGGCAACCGGTGTAACTATACAGAGACCTTAGAACTTATATCTCAAGGTGTGTGGCGCATTTACGTTGTAGATGTCTATGGGTTTCAGTAACCACTTAACACCAGGTGGGCTGTGAGCTCGTCCACACACCGAGGCAATAAAAAAAAAAACATAAAAATTAAGAAAAAACCTGTATAAAGAAAAATGTAATTTGTAAAATAATTTTATTATAATTTGTTTGTGAACCAGGAATCAAGTAGAATAGCGATATAGTTTGTTTATCCGGAGATTGATCAGTTTATTTGTTTAGGTGATGATGCGACCACAAGAACAGCTGCAGATCGACACGGGAGACGAGGCTGCAAACTTCAAAGCCATCGCTCAGAGACAAGCGAATAAAATCGTCACGATATCGAGCGTCGAACCTTTGGAAATTACTATCACTAGAACCGGAATGGAGGTAAGGGTCTAATTGTGTTCATGTGTTTCTTTGCCGAGAATGTGGTAGATAGATAGTACGGTAGGCAGCGGCTTGGCTCTGATCCTGGCATTGCTGAAGTCCAGAGGCGACGGTAACCACTCACCATCAGGTGGGTCGTCTGTTCACTGCCTACAAGGGCAATAAAAAAAAAGATCAATCGGCGTGCTATCTGAAAGATTTCTTTTTATCGAAAAAATATCATTAAATTTGTTCATAAATGAGGAAATTTACTGTAATATCACGCTTGACCGCGAGAGCGCACTATTGTACAGTGACTTCAACGTTTAACGGTATAAAACAGATTTTAGCCGGATTTATTCGGGACGCGGGAAAATAATAGAGCATTCCGTCTCGATCTCTTACAAGTAATCTGTAACCAGAATAAAAACATTATTTACCAAGTACATATTTTGGTTTTGAATATACATGTCATTCAGCTACCCAAATAATATTTCGAATTAGTTTATCATGATTCTTATAAGCTATACAATGAATAACTTTAATTTTTATGTTTCATTTTTTTTTTTTGTTAAAGTATTTAAGAATTTAATTCAAGCTTGAGGTTAACTTAGATTTTTGAATGGTGCCATGGAATGATACGAAATTGTTTTTTGTTCCACAGGTTCTGTCCCAACTTGGCAACTCATTCTCTGCAGCCATTGCAGATACATCTGACTCTTCTGTTGTATCGAAATCAAAGTCTGATGACGTAAGTACCGTACAGAGCGATGCGCTTGTGCCGGTGTTCAAATATCACAGACTTGTACCATTTTTTCTAAGGAAATACTTAAACTAGAAAAGAATATAATCGTGTAAAAAAATTGGTTGTCTGTAAATTTGGTTTACGGACGATAGTTCTACGTGATAACGCAATAAAGAAGCATTGATGAAAAATTGCATACTTTTATGAATTGAATTAAATTATTATCACTGAATTGTCATTATTTTGTATAATACAAAGAAAGAATTAGAGAGAGAAAGAGAGAGAGAGATAAATTAACGCTTGGGCCAATTGTGCCTCTCTATCGTTTGTTGCTCTGCGTTGCGTTTGTCGCTTGCACGCTCAGGTTCAGGCAGAACGTGACTCTTTTTTATGGGTGCAGCCGGTGTTCGTCGATTTATACGCCATCCATGATACGCCAATAAACTGGAAAAAATACTGTGCGCAGTTACTACATGTAATTGTAAGCTAGAATGGATAGGTACCACCATCCTGTTTGCTTATGCCGAGAAGCAGTCATCCTTTCCGGCTTAAAATATGTGTAAGAGCCGTGACAATACAATTGGAACATCGGCCTCGTATACCGAGCTGGGAGGCGGCATTCACCTATATCTAACCTATAGAAGATACAAGTGCACAAGTATGCCAGATGGGCTCATTCGCCCGTCTAAGCAATAAACATGTATAAACGATATGGGCGCCATCTTCAGTGTGCTGCCAGAAATGTACTTGCCAGAAATGTACACTTTACTAATTTACCCGGAGAAGGCAACCGACCGAACAAAAACATTAGATTATGGTTTTTATTTTAAACTAACAAATTAGTTAGTGGGTATAATATTAAAAATATATATAATTAATTAAATTAAAATTACAATTCCAATTTTTTAGCAAATGGCGAAGAAGAAATTCTATGGTGCCCCGTACGTTTTGCACAATTGTACCGGCCTGACCGCCAGGCTAATGTTACAAGACAACCACGACTTCTCCGTATTCATCGTCGAAGACAAAAGCGTTTCTGACTACAGGTATGTACATGAATATAATATAGTCTTGCACGGGCTTCCTCTTGTGGAAGTCGATAATTTTTATTTATTTTAAATTTGTAGGGAAGTCGTTTTGGAGTCGGGGGCGTGCGTACCGCTTCAGTTGAAGCATGGCGGTCTGAATATGATGAAACTTAACGAACCCCCACCGCCCCTGAAGTTAAATGTTAAGGTATGAATTTTAATCATCGATTTAAATATAACACAGGTGCCAACCCTGACACCGATTCTGATTGTATGTATTGTCATAACGGCATTTGTTTATAGCAGCGCCCACTGAGTTTCTCGCCGGATTTTCTCAGTGGGTCGCGGTTCCGATCCGGTGGTAGATTCTACGAAGCACTACTCTTGCTAGGGCTAGTGTTAGCAAATTCTCTCAGGCTTAGCCTGTGAGCTCACGTGCCCGTCCTGTCGTAGCTGGAATAGCATCTTAGGCTACCAGAGAATAGGTAGGAAAAAAAACAGCAGTCTTGGGATTTGGATTGAAAATTTGTCATGGTAAATTTTATGTTAGTTAACGAGTTAGACGTATTCTTCATACTTTCGATAAAGGTATCTTTTATATTGAAAATAGTTTTTGTCGTGTCTGTAGCCTAACGTCTCGGTTGTTAGCGTATTGAACGTAGTGATGTACCTGAGTTCAAATCCCGGATAGACACTAAGCTTCCTAACTTAATACGCACTTGACGTATACTTACCAAAAAATCTCCACGAATCTCGAACGGAACCTTGAAAAAAATAACTTAATCAATAAAATATATTAAAGCCTTACATTTATCTTATTTTTGAGGGTATTTTTAATAATAGAATAAGTAAAAAAATAACAAAATATGTAACAGATTGTGGAAATAGACGAAGACCTTCAGATTCCTGTCGAGCGTGCCGACAAAAGGTACTTCACTCTGGGCCGGAAACTCACCAGCGGCACTATGGAGAGGAACGTGCCTCATGTAGCAGCCGCCGAGCCGCGGGGACTCATCTCGGACGTGGTCATGCAAGATGCAGCCTTGCACATCTATCTGCGCAGTGTCGTGCAAGTAAGCACAAGTCTACTTCGTTGAGGAGTTGAGAGAAATTGTTACTGGACCCATAGGGACCCATCACGTCGTAATACCACCCGACCTAAGAGCGAGCACGAATGACCATCGAAAAAGTATTCATATCGCTATCCAGAAAAAATGTATAGGATTTAAACGGCGCCCCTACCGTCCGTAAAAATAATTAATTTCAGCGGCACGAATGAATTTACTTTCGTTTCGCGATCGAACCGTCACGTTCTCGAAACTAGAAACTTATACTAATAATAGAGAGCACGAAAATTGTTTTGACATACCGTAACGTAAATCTCGATGGCTGGCTATCGAACAATACCATCCAATGTAACAATCAGTTTTCGTATTGATGACTCGATACATTTACGAGTTCGATAGATTTTCGTGCTTGACGTACAGATCATGTCATATTGGTATGAACCAATGAATGATAATGGAGAACGCGACTGCACATTATTTCTAAAAATTCTTTATTGTATTTTACAACACTCACGGAAAGAAATATGCTGGTGCTATTTTAGACACCGCTAAACCAAGCGTTTGCACCTTTTCAATACGCAGCTCGAAGTTTTTAAAACACACAAAAGATATACCTAATAGGAAATCGGTCAACATTTTTTTTTAATTCCCTGGTTTATAAAGTTTATTAAAATTTAGTAAAGCTTAAAGTTTACTTTGCAATAAATACTCTGCCGAAGCCAACTTCACTGAGTTTGACGTAATTTGAGAACAAAATGTACGACAAGTTCAACATATGTCATAAATTAATAATACCCAACGATTAACCACATATGACATCACACGTTGCAATTGAAGTCAAGTTTTAATGTTGTTTTTTATCATAGGTAACAAACACATTATCCGTCAATGTATCGGTATACTACATGACATTGAGCGGAAACGAAGTCAGATTGTTAGGGGAAGTCCCGCCCGGCGAAATACTAAGGCTTCCGCTGCAAGCCGTGCACACACCAACCGCAGAAATATTTTTCTCCGTCGAAGGTAAAATTGTCATTCTTATAGATTGATTGATATGAGTAATGATTTTTTTTATTGCTTATATGGGTGGCCCAGCTCACAGCCCACCTGGTGTTAAGCGGTTACTGGAGCCCATGGACATCTACAACGTAAATGCGCCACCCACCTTGAGATATAAGTTCTAAGATTTCAGTATAGTTACAACGGCTGCCCCACCCTTCAAACCGAAACGCATTACTGCTTCACGGCAGAAACAGGCGGGGTGGTGCTGCTACCTACCCGTGCGGACTCACAACGTAGACTCGGAATGTCCGACATTAATTAAATCAGTATAGTAATTTAGATGCTTTAATTAATTTTAGTTATCGATTACAATGGGTACGTTTTAGTTTTTTTACTGTTGTTAATCTATACTAATATATAAATCATTAGCTTTTACGGATGTTCCGTTATAACTACTGAACTATGCATCCGATTGACTTGAAACTTGGTATCCATGTAGAAAATACATGTACTTGATGGATAGACTAATATTTATATGAGCGTTGGACTCCCTACACCAGTTGCGAGGGCGTTAATGATGAGAAGATTTGTGGAGGTGAGAAATAATAATGTTAATTTTAAATGCCCTGCGAAGCGGACCGATACAATTAGTGTTTTTTATAAATTTGAGTTGGTGCGAACTACAAACCTTCAGCGTCTGTAGCACCCTACAGCCTGCTATAGTGATGTGGTCGTGCGCAGGTTTCACCGTGTCGGTATCGCCCTTCGTCTGGCGCGAGCTGCAACAAGAAGTCAGGATCGCTAAACTACTTCAGTGCAACTCGAAAGATAAAGCTAGCGGTGAAAAGTTCTATATCAAAGTAAGTATGCTTTTAAACCAACTTAATTGAATAACAAAAAAAATTTACATTTTAAATCTAATATATAAAATTCTCGTGTCACAGTTTTCGTTGCCATACTCCTCCGAAACGGCTTGACCGATTTTGATGAAATTTTTTGTGCTTATCCGGTATCTATGAGAATTGGCCAACATCTATTTTTCATCCCCCTAAATGTTAGGGGTAGTCCACCCCTAAATTTATTTATTTATTTTTTAGACAATTTTTTTAATTTCTATTTTTTTATGATACAACATACAGAAATACATACAATCCTCAATTTTCACCCTTCTACGATCAACCCTTATTTTTTATTTGCTAATTAAAAACTTTAAAATTTTTTGCGAGAATTTTGTTTTTATTTTGTCATGACGTAGAAAAAAAAAGTTCATATTACTCTGAAATTTTCACCCCTCTACGATCAACCCCTATTTTTTATTTGTTAATTATAAACTTTTTTTTTTGGCAAGATTTTCATTTTTATTTTGTCATGAATTAAAATAAAAAATCTGATGTTACTCTCAATTTTTCATCCCTCTATGATCAACCCCTATTTTTTATTTGTTAATTATAAACTTTAATTTTTTTGGCAAGTTTTTTATTTTGTTTTGTCATGACTTAAAATAAAAAAAATCATATTACTCTCAATTTTCACTCTTATACGATCAACCCCTATTTTTCCATCCCGATTAATATT